AATGTAGTGAAATTGTCAGACGTTACTCTAAAGAGACGGTCCTAGATCTCACTGTGAGACAAGCCTAACAATGGCCCTTTTAGACCTTTTATCGCAAAGACAGCCTGCATCATTCTTCTGTCAAAAGGTTAGGACCAAATTTACTATGACTCATGTGCACAACCATTCAGAATGCAGCATAGAATGACACAGAGTACACCTGCCAATACTGCCATCAAAGTACCCATATACACAGACGCATATTCCGTATATAACATGTATACATCTATATGACACACCATTTCGGAATTTCTTTTCTTTGTTTTTAAAAAATCCTTGCATTTTATTTTTACTATTTCCATCATCGCATAACATCAAACGCCTCAAAATAGCAATAGCACAGTACGGCTACAACAAACTAATGTTTTAATCGCCGATTAATCTCCAGATACTTTGTTTTTAGACTAACTGATTGATTATTTGGACAAATAAATATCATAAAATTGTGAAAAATGTTTATCATGATTTTGATTGAAATTGCTCGGTTTGTCCGACCAACACTCTTATACTCAGATTTTCAGTTTATAATCACATACGACAAAGAAAAGAATCAAATCTTCCCATTAGAGACGCTGAAACCATAGTGTGTTTTGCATTTTTTCTTGATAAAACTATCAAATATTATTGCAGATTAATAAATCAGTTGACTAAGCATTTAAGCTTAACTAGCCTGGCACAGATTGCAACCAACAGTTTATTAGACTGTTATCTCATGTTCAGTCACAAAAATGAGGATTTGAGTCTTGGACCTGACTGCCATGAGACTAGATTTGCTTTGGATTAGCTCCCTGAAGACTTCAAGTCAGTGTTAAAGAACTCAGAACAATAAAAAGTAAGGATTGCAATAACATACAGGCTTTGAATAAGTAAGACTGATGAAAAATGAAAAAATGTTCTCAACTAGGCTAAAATTAGAAATTTACTTGAAATTTACTTCCGAAGACTTTAAGAGACTGACAGTGCTGCGTTCCGATAAACCTCACCTATATGTCCACCATTTTGTGATCATTTCAACTTACACACACAGTTCGTCCTTACCAATCTCATTTCATATACATTTTTGAGACGGTTCTTGTTGACATAATAGCCATTTTTCATTTTTACACCAGCTCTTTGGAGCTGATGTGCTTTCTCACATTAGAGTGCTGATCGCCTATCACAGCTGAAAAATGCTGCTCATTGGCATTCAACCTGCTGTAACCCACCTCTGCAGCAGTAATTGTTATTGTGATTTAGTTACTTCAGTGCAACCTTCTCCACGAGGTGATTACATTATTTTTTGTGCCCCCTGTAAGTGTCCATTTTATTTTTTCATAGCTTGCACATGGCTTAAAAAAGCCTATTTTCCAATTCTAACACAAGCTTTCCACCACAATAGGAACCTGCTGCGTGGTTTGGTTTGATGTGCACTTAAGAGAAAATAGGACAGATTGAAAAGGGGAGAGAAAAAATAAAAAATAAAGAGGTTTCCGCTGTGTGTGTATTGCATCTCTATGCTCAGAGTACAAACATTAGGTATCTTTTCTATGAATCAGAAAGCAGGCTGGAAAATCCAGATGAACACCACAATCTTTTTGTTCATTTAATCCATTAGATATTCTTCATTCATTTACAAGTTTCAAGTTTCAAGTCCTAAACAAGTTATTACAAACCCTTCAACAAATTGAATGCCACTTTTTAAACAGACTATTAGTGAGTATTTACTTCCATTAAACTACTATAGACTTTTGGTCAAACAGAAGTAATTCTTCACCTTAGAGGCCATGAACACCTCTTCTCTCAAGCAGCTTCTTACTGTGAGTGAGGGGGTGCTACGTGAGCACACTCTTTTCTGCCAAAGGTTTAAAAGTGTTGGGTTATTTCACATGAGAGAATTCTGTCTGCCTTTTTTTTAAGATATTCTTGCTAATTTGAAACGGGTGGGGCCTCCGCTAAAACAAAGGGTGATGTCACACACATGCGAGCCAATCGGCATTTAGCAACATTTGAATCAGAATCTGATGACGGTCGGTCTGCTGACAACGCTTAATATAAAATAAAGTTTTTTTAAATTTACTAACTAACAGCTGGATTCCAACAGGCACGGCTGTGTCGCGTTCTGGCTGGTTTTGTTCCGTCCTCTACACAGCTTCCTACCCCACATTTCAAAAGCAAAGCGTTTTGCCTGCCTGATTTTACTGACTTGCTCAGATTTTGTTGTTTTGGTAATTTGTCAGTGTTTTTTTTTGTTCTACTATCAGTGTTATTAAGAAATTCTTCAACTTTAAAAGGACAACCCCAGTTGGTTTTACGTTCCTGCCACTTTCAATTGTGTTTATCTCAGACTGTATAAAAGAAGTGGATCTAACCACTGTGATGTCACCCATTGGTTTGTGCACTACAGTTTTAAAGCTTTGAGTCTGGCACATTGGCCATCGCCATCTTTGTTATTTCGAAACAGAAGTGTCCATATTTGGGTGAGAGGGTAGAGCTGGGTAAGGACATTTTACTCTAAATGGGACAATAATTTACTAAATGAACATCATGCTGTATTGAAGAAGACTTGAAACTAGCGATTAGCACCATAAACCCGTTAGGAAAGTAGTCACTGAGGTAATAAATCAAGTGAGAAGTTCGGTCATCATTGACGTATTTTCGCAACCAGTGGAGTCGCTCCCTGCTGCCCATTAGAAAGAATGCAGGTGGAAGGCACTTTGGCATTGGCTTCAATATTCAAGAGGTTCCCCCTGGATTTTTTCAACATTCTGATAGTTGTTGGTTTCTATTCATATCAGTACAGAGTGGCAGAGACTTTCTGGACATGGATAATTCATCACAGTGATCATAATGTCTCCTTTGATTTTTGTCAAAGTTACATTATTGTTGAGCTCAGGGAAGAATGTCCAAGGTAATGGCTTTTGTGCCATGCTTAGCAAAAGCATGCAAAAACTCTGGCCTGGGCTCAGTAGTGTTTTGCACATAATAATTTGCATCTTCTTCAGTTTTAGATTTGACGTATTTACTGCATCCATACAATTCAGGTGGCGGCAGGAAAGTGTGTGTTAATTTCCACTCACATCACCCTGACGATGTAAACTTCAAAGATCATAGCATACTGTGGAAAAACTGCACCCATCTCGCACCTTAACAGACAACTCAATCAAACCAGAAGTACTGTGAATAATGTGAACTGATTAAAGTCTGGTTTCAGTTATGCCAATATTTCCCTCATAATCTGTGAAATAAAGATAGACTCTTGTTTCATTACAAAGTCAGCACAAAAAGATGACATTTCACATTCTGTCTTACAATCTTCTTGTTAAATGCACTAAATGATAAAAGATGAAGAGTGAACGTCTCAGACTCTGCTACTCTTTGAACCAGGAAGCATTTGAAGTACATTCATCTGAAATAAAAAGTATTTCAAAACACCTTTATGGTTTTAATAACTTCACACAAAACTGTAGTTTGTAATCTTGCATTTTTAAGCCCTGAACATGATTTGAATGGATGGGAGAGATGCAGCAGTAATGTTTATTGAAAATGCTTTTTGAAGCACTTTTCAGTTTTCCAGGCATCCACAACCTTATCCCTGTTTAACCACAGTTCAAATGGGTTCTAAAATCTGTTCTAAAAGACTACTGGGCCACTATTAACCCAATTAAAACTATAAATGCCAGAGGGGGGAAATATAAATTATAGTATAAATGATTGACACAGACCTAGCTGCCATCCGAGGACTTCAGTTGGTTGTGGGAAGTTACTTTTGCTGAGCTCCACAAACTTTCTGCCAGTTTCACATTTCACATCATAATGAAAGGCCCCCATAGAAACTTCATTACTGACGTTTAAATGCATGACACAGTTCAGAGGCTTGAGAGAAAATTTAGCACTCCCCAGCACGAGCGCAGAGCATTAATTTCTCATCCTTTCAAAGCTGCTGGAAGTCAGAAACACTTTCAGAATCATTAACTCCTGGGTTTTTAATTTTTTTTTTTTCCCACTTATCCTACCTGTAGCTCGGTTACTGGCAGCTGCTGTGAAACTTCCTTTTAAATACACATCCTTCGTGTCTCTTAGTCCAACTTCTGCGTCAGTTTGTTCCGTGTGGACACCAAGTCACTCTCTGGCAAACTAAAAGTGGGACCTGTCCCTTTGTGGCGTTGCAAAATACCTGAAATATGAGCGTTTTCTTTTCTTTTTTTAAAGCCGCCGGCAACAGGTGTTCATTTCATGTACAGGTGACAGTGAAGCATCGACGGACTTTGCTGCGCCCTCCTTGCTGAGCTCCCGGGAGTCCAACCTCCCCCCTCAACCCCTCCTCCTCTGGCTCCTGCTGTTCTTTTGTTGTGTTGAAGCGACTCAAACCACATTAAACTAAAGTTCCTATCACAGTCCTTTAGTGTTGAAGCCAGTGCAGCTTTAATAAAATAGTTTGTTTGCGCAGGGAGAGGATGAAGAGGCGTTTCGATTCAAGTCTTAATCCCCTGGTGGCACCCAGGTTAAAGGTAACCACAAGAGGGTGTCCTTTACCTGCTGTTGGTGGCCAAAACAGGAAAAAAATTCATTACACGCAGACAAAGACTTGTTTGAGGTGTGTTCTAATGGTATTCACAGAGGTCACCCTCTTAAAATGATTCAAGAATGGCAATGAACACTGCTTATTGTGACTATCATTCTGTTTTGTGATAACAGTGATAGCCTTTTTGTGTGTACTAAACTAATCTGTCTTTTTTTTTTTGTGATGTCAGAAAATCTTCTCTGATCAAAAAAGCTTTTAAAACAGACTGCGCAACAGATAACTTTGTTTTTAAAATAATATTACAACACAGGAAGGAAGTTCTGGATATATTTATTTGTACATTGACATGTTTCTATTTTTTTAATAACTTTTGGTGTTCTCCACAGTCTGCCATCACAATGTCTCAAAGTATTTTGCAGAGAATGGGCCTGACTGCAAACAACACTCACAGTAACAAAACTTCAGATTCTTGATGAGATTCATACTTTTATTTCCTTTTTTTAAATCAAGCAAATGTATGTAAAAATACATCTTTCTTTGATATTCACAACCAAATGAATATACACAAACAACAATACTTCATACAGAAAGGAATATATAATAATTCAAAAATATACTGTACTTCAACAAAGTAATCACTCTTTGGATTGTACTGCAAATATAATCTGAGCTTTTCATGACATACAGACTACAGTCACAATTAAATATTTGTTGGAGATATGAAACAGCTGTGCAACTGTGCAAACATTCTCAGTCATCCAAGTCATGGACTTTCAAGCGGTCGTAAGTTAAAGGCATCTGCGGAGTGCTTCACCACTCATCCAGGGTTTGTTATAATTTCTTGAATGAGTGCTGAGTATTGTCCACCAGCATCATGCAGCTGTTACTGGCGAATAAACAACACAGAATTTAAAAAAATTCCAATAAGCAAAACAGTTAAAATCCTGTGAACTAACAACTGTCTCCATGGCAGAACAGTGATAAAGTTTTGCCTTATTTTCTATATACATTAAAAGTAAACAGCAGGCAGCAGTCTCAGGATACAGTGTGGCAAAAGGAAGGGATTCTCCACCAACCAGCAGCTGGCTCAGTCGCCAAAATCTGGGATGTCATCATAGGAGTAACCCCGGTAACCCTTAGCGGCGTAGTAGGCTATTCTCAAATGGTAAAATCCAGGAAGGAAAACGAGTAGCCCTATAATGATGACAGGAATGGTGCGGTCTGGATGCTGAAAACATAACAAAGAAAAGCAGAAAATGGACTCTGTAGTCAGAAACTTTGATGAGGGGTTACACGCAGACATTTCTTTGGAACCATTGATCTACTTTAGTGTGTGTGTGTGTCAGACCCACTATTTACTCACAGACATCACATACCGGAAAACTATACTTGTAATGAGGTGTTGCAAAAAGCACCACAGAGTGGAGAATAATGTACTCATCACGTCGCCTGCCAGCAGGAGTTAAACGCCCTCTGACTGAAAAGGGTGTGAGGGAAGCACACAGACATGATGACTTCATCTGTCTCAGATCTGGTTTCATGTAAATCATTTCATTTTACAGAACAGCTAACCACCAGGAGGCACAGGCAGTCTCTATTAACGCCAAGAGAAGTGTTTCATTTCACCACCAGATGGCAGTATTGTGCACTGAGTTACTGTAGCCCTCTCAACTTCTTCTTTTTTTAAGATGCATTGTTGCATGAGCCATGGCAATGGGTATCATTGTATTGCAGCTGTACGCATTTTAAACACAAAGTTTGTCTGCGTCATGTGCAGTATCTATTGAGATGTATGTGTAGTGTTTTCTTAAAGGGTCAATTCACCCAAATTACAAAAAAAAATACACTCAAACGTGAGAGTTGGCTCAGTTGTCTTCACTTGACTGATGTTCCATCCTGAGGCCATGAGATGCAAACGGAGCTATCAACAGGAGGACTGAGCACACTCCTTCCACTAATGAAAACCAGGTGATGCAGATGAAAGCTCCAGAAAAGGCAAGTAAGTGGACCTTGTGTTAAGATCCCCCCCCCAAATGGAAAATTACCGACCCTTCACTCTTTAGATTAAAATATGACTGTTCATTAATACCTGCAGTCTTATAGCACTATTAAAAAGTAGTTATAGTAAAGTATAGTAAAGGGTTAACTAGTTTCAATATGGGCCCAATTTTCCTTTTGCCACCGTGATGGTTGACCTTTTCACATTTTATTTTTTACTTTTTTGACATTGCTCTTGTTCACCAGAAACACTGTTGTGCAATAACCATGCACTCACTCTCTACAGTTGAAACAAAAGAAAAAACTATTAAAGCACATTATTTCAACCCAAATATCCTACAACTTCTTGCAATAGAACCTGCCTGCATAGCATTTTTCCATTATCCATTGCTTGAACCCTGTGTAATTTGTGGTATTAGAGATGCTATTTTAACTCGCGTGGGCTAACTGGCAAGTAGACTGCTCAAACACTGCTTTCCTGTCAGATTACATTTTCTGCAAACACACTCTGCAGATTGGAAAAAACATTAACATTAACCTCCTACTGATAATTACAAATATAATATGTGCAAGGCCCTGTTATCTCCCACATGGAGTCATGAATTAGGAAAGCAGAAACCACAGCAGGAGCTCCACCAAATTTGGCATTCCAAGGTATAAAATATCAAAATTAGTTATATTTCAAACACAAACAAAACTATCAAGGCCAGGAAGAGTGAGAGCGCAGCAGAAAACTGGCAGTAAGGCAATAAAATGTCAGGACAAGTGTTCAATTACAGCTATTTAAAGACACGATTAATTGCAGCGTGAGTGTGTTAATTTTACTGCTTGAGTTGAAATGTTGGAGGCTGTGTCGGCTCTCTAGATGTGTCAAAAATGGGCTGGGTATAAGACCGCAATACTTTTTTGATACTGACTGAAATGTTTTCGTACTGCAGCACCAAGTGTCAAAAACTGTCAAGTACCGAAAGCTGGCACTAAATATCTGGTCTGATTAACGGTGTTGTTTACATACATAGTTCCTGATATAAATCAAAATGTTGCAGATTTAGGATATTTAATTGAGGCTATTTTCTTGGATGGCTGCTTGTGCTTAGACGACATTTAACATTTGATCATTTAAAACTTAATTTAAAAAAGAAAGACAGATCAGAAAGACCTTTTTGTCAAAAATGGATTTCCAAGTGTTCTGGGAACAAGGCTAACAGAGTGTTTACAGGGTACTTACATTATGGGAGAATGTGACACGCTAAACAATATGCATTTTGGCAACAGAACAAGAAATTGTATTTCAGTTTATATAGTAGGGAAACATGTCAACAACAGTTCCAACTATATTGACTCCAAAGTCTTGACCTGATATCCATCAATGTAATTTGCCGTTTGAACAGATTTTATTACATTAACTGGCCAAACTCACCTCGACCTTTAAGGTTCCTGACAGAAGAAGAGCCCCGAAGATAATCAGTAAGGAGCCAATCAAAAACAGGAATATTGCCAGTGCAATCGCCTTGTATGGGACCTTTGGCGGGCTTTTCTTAAACTGTAAAGAGTTCAATTATTGGACAAAATACAAGACTATAAACAGATATAAAACAACTTTTAACCAAAAAGTTTATCAGATCTCTGACATAAACACAGAAGGCTTAGACACACTTCCAAAAAGTCATTATTTGAGATTTACCTCAAGTGAATTGCCTGTGGTAGCAAAAGGTTTACTAATTAGCAGGCTCCTGAACAATGCACAGAGCAGCACGAGATGAATACTACCATCACTATCTTGTTGGTGCTGTTTAAATTCTCCCACATGCACATTTAAAAAAAATGCACTTTCACAATGATTTCCTGAGTATGTACAGTATGTGTGTGTAGCACTGAATGGACTACACATTTTCATTTCATTGTACAACCCTGTGTGGTAAAGTATTAATTAGAGATAATGTCAGGTTTGTAGAGTTACAAAAGAAGAAAAATCTCTCACTTGTAAGTCTATGTAACCGTCCTCGTCAACCGCCAGTCGTGAATACTTGACCGCGTTGTTGGATGTTGCAGCACCCAACATATTGCTTCTGGCTGCCTTCATTATGGCATAGGAGCTGTTGGGAAAGAGAGATGCAAAGAGGTAATCATCCATAAGATCTCCTCAGTAATCTTATTTCCCAACATTTTCTTGTATTTGTTACGCACAGGCCAGTCAGCGTTAATAAAGACAATTTACTCATGCATCGTTATCACTGCTTCATCTGATGTGGCATCCACACAGAGAAAGAAACAAGAAAAAATACCACAAAGCTTACCTGCCCCAGAGGGACCCGAGACAAGCGTGACTATACTGTACATGTGACCCGATCTTCCTCAAAGCATAAGTTTTGTTTGTGTTGGAGATTGTGGCTCTTTGCTTCCGTGCTCCCCCACCCCCCAAGGAGTACTAAATCCACGAATAACAAATGCTGTTCCTTCTTGAAAAAGTATGGAGGAGCTTTCAGAAACATTCCCTTATTTTGCTGGCAGCTGTCACACCAGCTCGCCACAGAGCCTCTGTGATGAGGAAAGCCCCAGGTTATATCTCCTGTGAAGTTACAGCACTTAGCAAGGCAATACTGTGGATTTAGCAAAAAATGGAGTAAAGTGTTTTACGTTCTACATCACGTGAAATAAACATATGCAGATTTACATGCGAGCTATACCTACAAATATGTGGGAGTATTTATTAGTATTCATCTGGAGTGGTTTCAGAGGGAGAGGCAGAACCATAACTGATCTTGCAGCATCTTTTCCTTTGTCTTCTGATTTTAACATATAAAAAAAAAAAAGCTACTGTGAGCAGATGGGTGATAAATTACAGGAAATATCCTCATTAAGCATCATAGTAAGGTATTGGTCCACCAAGAGCCACCACAACATTTTCAGTGCTCCTTAGACTGTAGGGATGAACAGCATTCTTCCAAAAGATATTCCCTAATCTGTTGCTGATGATGGTGGCGCTGACTAACATGCTGCTCCAAAATCTCCCACAGGTGTTCAATTGAGATCAGGTTGAGATCTGGTAACATAATTGTCATCCTCATTAAAGCTTTCAGTGAGCTCTCATGCTCTGTAGGGAAGCTCCACTCTTACATTCAGGTTTTTACTGTGATTTGTCACCTGTCTTGAATTTGCATAAACACGTGTCATATATTTTTCTATACTTTCTTAAAGGTTCCCTTCAGGACTGCAGACACTGGGGTCATGTCCTCGGTATAGTATCTAGGAATTGAAGGGTTTTGACAACCTGCGGTAGAGTTTACACACTCATTATATGTTGTGTTTTCAAGACTGATGCTGATAGACTTTAGTCTTTAAATGTTATATTGAAATGTGGGGTCGTGCTGGGGGAATTTGGACGCGGTATATAATCTAAACTAAATCCTGGTTCCCTTATAACAGGTTTCATGTAACGTTATGATTCACAGGTTTTCTATATGACAGTTGTTTATATGTGGTACTCACACCGTTACTTAATACAGTAGTAGTAGTAGTAGTAGTGTATCATCCCCAGAAGTGTTAGTTTAAATTCACTACCCTCCACTTACCCATTGTCTAACTTTTAATTACTGTTACGTTATTATGGCTAATTACTTACGAGAATAAATTAGCTCCTGTGCATTAATAACATGATGTCGCTGAGGCTTTTGCCCAGCAAACAAGTAAAAAATGAAGATGTTCGCTGAGTGAACTGCTAAGCTATCTTGCTTTGACGTGTAATAATCACTCGTAGCTAATTAAGTTAGCTGTCACGTTAGCTGATATAACGTTAGCTATTTAGAAGTTAAGCTATCAAAAGCTAATTAACGTAACCTGACATGCACGAATATATGAATTTAATTGTTCTCCTCGTTGCTCTCTTACCTTCACTTGAGCTACAATAAACACCGTAGATGTTGTTGTTTAGCAGACTGCGGTGTCACATCTACTTTGTTTTCACTGGAAAGAAAATCTGCATCAACTTCCTATTTTCAAGTAGTGCGCCTGCGCGCTAAGCGTCCCTGTTTCTTGAGCTGTCCAGGTTGTCCCTTCATGTCCTGTCTGCTTACAGCCAGAGCCCTTTACAGAGATCTCTGATTACAGCTACCTAACAGCCGTGTGTTGGGAAAGGAATCCAGATGTTAATAGCTCTCCTACAGTGTAGAAATGTTCACTTACAACTCAAATGAAGTTTTTCATTCAAAGTTTTCATCAGCTAAATGTACCACAGTACACATTAAAAATCACACACATTAAAAGTTTTACATAAGGCTAACCTCTTTTACTATTATTTTGTTAATGTATACATTATTATACTGATTATTATTGTTAATGATGCATTACTGTGTAAGAATTAATTTAATATATAGCAGGCTGATTTTAATAAATATATAGACTGTTGGGTAGTTTAATCTATAACAAATCTTAATATAATATGATCATATTTAGCATTTAAAGTATTCATCTGAAAAGTATATGTTAAAAATAGCTGTTAAATTAATAGGCTATAATGGAGTAAAATCCATCTTTCCCACTGAACTAATGGAGTAGTAGTGAAGTATTAATCAGATTAGGTATGGAAACACTTTGCTAAAGTCACTTTATTTTACTTTAGTCCAAAACTACAAGAATAATACAGAAAAAACAGTCTACCTGTTGAAATACTCTGAAATGTTGCCCACTCTCCAACAATCATTTTCTCTGTCCTTACCTTGGCCACATTCCTCTCCTTTTTTTTTTTTCCTGAATGCCTTTTGAAAAACAATGCCAGCTTCACATGTCCTTCAGTGAATTACAAAAAAGTGACAGAATTATCAGCAAAGAAGAAGCACTATTAAGTGTTACATGGTGTCCTAGCTTGCTGTGTGTTTCAGTGTTTAAGATAGATGTGAGCCCAAATATGTGCCGACTATTTTAAGCCAAACAACTGAAGGTTTGGCATCGTCACCCTTCACTCAAAATTCCAGGCATACAGTCTTCAAAAATATTCATCCTCTTTGGGTTTCTCAATGCTAACTTTCTTTTTGTTAAATTTCCATTACTTTATTTATAGGTTCATTTCTATGCTTTTACCGTGAACTGTTTTATCTCTCGTTCTCCCGTCTGTAATCACATTCCAGTCTATTTGCTGATTGACTCTGCAGCTGTTTGGTTACATGGAAAGTAAATGGTACTGTACTTTCAGGAAAAGCTTTCTACAAAGTGGATTGCCTGTCATGACATGTCAGTCACATTATTAGTGTTAAACTGATATGCACTTTCAAAGGCTGATATTGTTCAGGTTTTGTTGAGAAATTGCTGACCAAATGTTTGTGAATCCATTCAGGAGTTGTTGAGACCTCATGGGGCCACTAGAGGAAAAGTCAAGGGATCACCACAGTCAGTATGCTTCATCCTCTGGGCACCATGAATATCTGTGGAGTTAATGGCAAACCATCGAATAGGTGTTGAGATATTCCACTCAAAAAACAAAATTGATTAGGCAGCATGGACCATAAATGCCTGTACAGAGTTTCATGGAAATCCTTCCAACATTTGTTGAGATATTTCACTCTGGACCAAAGTGGTGGAAAAATCAATTGCGATCCAAAAAGCCACGCTCCAAATGAATACAGCACTAGCACCATTCTTGAATTCAGTACAATCTGAATCAGTGTGAACTTCATTTATAACTTCTTTACATCCACACCATTCTGGGAAACCGAAGTAATAACAGTGAAAAGTATATGACTGGAGGGAACAAACACTTTGAGTCTGGAACTGACTGTCATTTTCTATTAATGGCAGGAAACCAGGGACCTTTGCTGAGAACTTGCTGTGTTCAAAAATGAACTCTACTATCATAAATAAGACAACACAGTTAAGACTACGCTACTTTGATCATTGTCATCCTGAAAAAGTTAACAGCAGGTTATATAACCTTCATCCAAGCCATTACTAACAGAAATAAATCCCATGTGCACTCCAAATTAAATTTCTTCCATTTTTCTTTCTTTCTAGAATAAATCAAAAAGCACATTCCAAGACCCCTCCGCAACCAAGAAATGTATGAAGAATATTAAATTCAGGGAGCAAACTAAAATTCAAGAAACTCATCACCACTCACCAAAGAACTTCAGGTAAACACTTTTCTCAGAACCTTTTACAGCCTTTTACACACACCTCTGGTCAACTATTAAACAAACATATCTGACAGTCACAAACTTTCTTTATTATTTAATAGCCAACCAGACACATTTAATAAAATAGATACAATCAAATGAACAAAAAGGCTTGAGGTACACATGCAGTGAACCATCTATCAAAAGGCACAATGGCACTTTAATAATGCAAAAACCTGTTTCAGTCTCGATCATCAGAAAATGCTGAAAGTTGCTGCTGAAAATTAATACCAGAATTGACGCCAAGGTTCACCTGTGACCATGGAAAATATTAACTATAAATATATCCCCTGCGCTATCCTATTCTTTATGTTCACAATATGTTCACTTCTGCTGTTGCTCCAGCAGTCATAAAAAAGAACTCCCTGAGATGCACACAGGGCCTCGCCTGCTGTGGCAGAGCTGGCAGGACATACTGTTCGCATCGACAGGCCCATAATGTACCTGCTGTGTATTGTATAGTTTTTTCCTTTAACTCTAAAGTTAACATTTCCCTCATTTTTATGCCTTTCATGTCATCACTGTTTTGCATTTGAGACTTTCAAAATGATGTTTGAGTCACAAAATCTACTTTTTTTTTTCTCTTCTTCCAAGGCTTTCAGTTGTTCTTGTATATACCCGTACACACTAGCAGTTCACCACATTTCACATAAACGAAGGTAAACTAAATATTAGAAACCCATTTGAGTATAACACAATAATATTCAAAGCCACCAAAATGACCATGAAGTCAATAATTCTCTTAAACAGTTTCAACAAAAACATTCAATATTATAATCTTCGTTTCTTGATTTCTTGCTGTTGTGTTAGATATCACATACCTTAGAGCTGGGAGTAATAGCTTAACTGGTAAGTGTATGTGCTGATAATGGATTTATGTATCTACATAGTCTGGTGTGTACAGGATGTGCAAGGATTGTAAGGGTTTATTTTTGGTTGCATTTATGCAGACAATGTAAATTTATGAAAATATGTGCATGTGTGTATTTGTAATTGATTCCGGTTGGTGCATTGCTGCCATCTGAAAAACGTACTCTCCATCGCCCCCTGTCACTTTCTATTATTGTACAAGAGCATTATCCAACCCATCCTCCTCTACTATTGCTACAATATGCTGTCATCAATAAAAAAACGCTCATCAGTGTCACTCACACTGCATCAAAAATAATTAGGTTTCCCACACCCAACCTCTCAGAGGTCAACAGTAGAGGCACCAAATGCAAAGCACAAAGCATTGCTTGCAATAATAGGTAAACACAGTCTGCTTAAACTAATACCAGGGTGGAAAAAGTATGTGAATCTAGGCTAATGACTTCTCCAAAAGGTAGTTGGAGTCAGGAGTCAGCCAACCTGGAGTCCAATCAATGAGACAAGATTGGAAAAAACACATACCAATTAAAATTTTGCAATTCTCGTGAAGCATTGCCTTCTGTGAACCATGCCTCGAACAAAAGACCTCTCAGAAGACCTAAGATCAGGGAATTAAATTGGCACCCACCACCCGCTAAATGCGGGTAAATTTTGGCAGTGGCAAGTGAAATCGTCAGGCTATCTGCCACTTAGGCAGACAAGGAAAATGCACAATGGAAAGACACATGTAAGGTTAGCGTATTGTGGCGATTAGCACAAGCGCCTGCGTCACACACGCACACAGCCCAGTCAGCTCAGGGAGTATCGGTCTCACCAGTCTGGAAGACAGCCTGTCTGTCCTCAGTGACAGCCAGACCGGCCGAACTACGTGAGGTAACTCCGGTGTTGTCAGAGAATTACTAAGCTTGTCTATATATATTGAATTGAGTACTGACTGACTAACACACTGTGGTGAACTTTGATATTATATGATAGTACTTAATGCCATGACTTGACTCTCAAATTATCTTTCTGTATAATGTGATACTTCTCCACTGCTCATCAAGCAACCTATTTTATTCTGTCACTTTCTATTGTGCTTCCTTCTGATCATGGCTGACATATAGAGTAATAATATATTTTGATTGTGCATCTTCAATTGAAATACCTGGTTATTAAGTAAGGTGGAGAGATAAAAGAGATGAGGCCTTTATGCATGCAAACATAAATATGTTGAACAGTGAATGACATTATTAACATTTAATTATAAATGAGCTGAATGTCATTCCTTCATTTAGTGCATACATTTTAAAAGTGAAAATTTCTGAGTGGCAGACAAAAAAAATACTTGCAGTGGCAAAACACAACGGCAGGCGTTGAAAAAAGTTAATTTCAGACCCTGCCTAAGATTAAGAATTTTTGACTTGCATGAAGTTGGAAAAGGTTACAAAAGTATCTCTAAAAGCCTTGATGTTCATCAGTCCACGGTAAGACAAATTGTCTATAAATTGAGAAAGTTCAGCACTGTTACTCTCCCTAAGAGTGGCCATGGGAGGACATCACGGAGGAGGCTTTATCTGTCCAATAAAAACACCAGTACCTGGATGTTCCACTGCTACTGGCAAAATATTCTGTGGACACATAAAACCAATGGGAAAAAGGCATAGCACACCAACATCAAAACCTCATCCCAACTGTGAAGTATGGTGGATGGGAATTCGTGGTTTGGGGTTGCTTTGCTGCCTCAGGGCCTGGAGGGGTTGCTATCATTGACGGAGAAATGAATTCCACAGTTTTTAAAGAAATTTTGCAGGAGGACTTAAGATCATCTGTCCGCCAATTGAAGCTCAACAGAAGACGGGTGATGCAACAGGACAACAACCCAAAAGAGAGAAGTAAATCAACAACAGAATGGCTTCAGCAGAAGAAAATACACCTGCTAGAGTCGTGTGGTTTACGGTGTTTAATAAAAACATGACTGTGTTCGTCTATTGTTGTGGACTGTTTCA